ATATCAACATTGTTAAAGCCGTACATAAATATATTAAAAATCGAAAAGATTTTTATGAATAACCAGCGTAACCATTCTGTATCTTTTACAACCCCCTCCTTCTTTCTTCGATTCTCTCCTTGCACTCCCATTCCCTTCCTTTCTTATTTCTCTGCACCCTTTTCTTTCTTCTTTTTTTTTTTGTATTGTATATTTGTTGCTTGTACATCACGTGTATATAATTTTGTTATTTTGTTTGTGTTGGAGAGGACAATCTAAGTTGGTATAACTTGTGTCCAATCCCATTGATTGTGTTCAATAAAATATGTTTAAATAAAAAAAAAAGATCCTTCCCTCAATCGCATTGTGGAAAAGGTACCAGACTAGACTGATTTATATCTAGAAAAATTTTTTAAGAAAGCGTTTTAGTTTATGAATTACTCAACAAGTAATCAATAGAGTTGTCGTGTGGAACTCTTAATATTTTATATATTAAATTATAGGTTAAACTGGAATATTATTTTTTTTCTCAATTTGATTTCAAAGTTTTACAATATACATTACTATTTCGGGGTAGGATTTTTTTTTTCATAAAAAAAAGACTTTTCCATAATCATCATTCTAAAGATGTCCCACGTCGTAAAGGCAAAGGTTGGAATCATAGGCGCTTGGTTTCAGGATGGTGTATTTTTAATGCACTGTGTATTTTTCGATGTCTGTCTTAATAAACTAATTAAAATGAAAATAAAATTCGCTGAAATTAACATTTTTTAAAGGTATTATATTTCTGTTCATAAAAAAAATAAGATGTATCACTCGCCATCTTTGATTCCGGGGGGGGGGGGGGTGCCAACTTTAAAGTTGGAATTACAAACTTTAAAGTTGGAAAAGCACACTTTAAAATTGGAATTACCAACTTTAAACAAATATTACGTGGCACTTACGAGGGGTGATCAGAAAATAATGCAAGTAATGTTATTCCATAGGTTTCCTTAGTAGGTGACCAATATCAATGTCACGCACGGGTAGATACATTCATTACCTGTATCTGTCTAAAATTTCTCTTCGTTTTATTCACTGTTTCAATAGATATATACAAAAGCAGGAGGGGTAGTCGTACATACTGACCATTTTCTCCCAGTGATACATGTATGAAATCTACAGTGAAGGCTGAAATAAGGAGCTATATAAAAGTGAGAGGCATTCTTGATATACCTGCAAAAGGCATTTTAAATGAAATTTGTCAGATTTATGGAGATTCTGTCGTTTCATTAAGCACAGTTTGTCCCTGGTTGAAAAAGTTCAAGAATGGCGTAGAGGTCGTTAAAGATTCCTCAAGGCCAGGGCGACCAAAGACAGCTGTTACTGATGGAAACGTGGCTGCAGTTAAACAAATGGTAGAGGAGGATGGTAGATATACTTTAAAATATATCGCTAGTGTTGTTGGGATCTCATCAGCAAAGGTACATGAAATTTTGACAAAGCACCTCAACCTACGTAAAACATGTGCACAATGAATACCGCATCTCCTGACACCAGAACAAAGGTCAACGCGTTTAAAATTTGCCAGAAAACTTTTAAAAATATATAAAAACTGTGACAGGAGAAAGTCTGCTGACTTGCTAACAGGAACAATATGATGTGGGTTAAAAAGAATAGTGAGCATCCTGTCATTGCAAAAAGGTGTCAGAGTGCTAAGAAAATTTTGTATGCTATTTTCTTTAATTCTAGTGGCCCAGTTGTGCAAATTCCAACTCCGCAAGGTCGAAGTATCTCTGGACATTTTTACAAAAATAATGTACTGAAAAAAATTTAAAAAAAACTTAAAGCTTATGAAAAGAAAAGACCAAAGTCAGGTTTGAAGAACATCAAGCTCATTCATGACAATGTCCCCGCTCATGAGAGTAAAATAGTTCAAAGTTTTTTGAAGGATGAAAAGGTTGTTCAGCTTCCCCATCCCCCATATTCTCCCGACCTTAGTCCCTGTGACTTTTTTCTATTTCCTAGACTTAAAAAAATGTTATCTGGACGCCGATATACTTCGCGCAGTGCAGTTGGTAGTGCTGTTTATCAGTGCTTAGACAGTATTCCAAGGGAAGACTACCTAGGGGCTTTCAAATCATGGGTATGCAGATTGAAAAAGTGTGTGAATCTGAAAGGGGGTTACTTTGAAGGATTAAACTAGTTTACATTTTGATACCTATTGTTTTTTTCATTTTTTTTTTATTGATATACTTGCAGAATTTTCTGATCGTCCCTCGTATACGCTTCCGTAGATTACAGAAGAAAGCGACATTTTTTTAAAAGAAAAGAAAGAGAAGACGAATATCAGAGGAGAAGAAATATTAATCTTGGAAAGGAAAATGATGAACTAAGGACCAAGGACAAACAGCAACAGTCAAGGATGCCACTGGAGTCACTAGCTCTGACGGGGATTAGAGAAAACGCCTAGATTTCGAGATCAAAGAGAGGATATCCGAGCTATAAGTATTATATACGATCCATTCATTGTTTGCCTATTAGTTCTATTGGTCTCTTCTCTTTGGAGTTTTCCAGAATGTTGGTCCACAGACATGGCGGTAAAATTGCTGACAAAAATTATCTATTCAAAATGTATCTTTTTTAAATTACTTTTTTTTCTAATAAAGAGGCAAGCGACACAGATCGACAAGCCGGAATAATAAAGCAAAATTGACTTCATATTTTTGGAATTTTGGCCTTCCAAGGAATAACCATTTCTTCACAAGGAATGGGGTTCCTTGACAAAACATATCAAATTTCATAAAAGTTATCTTCATTCAGAGATGTCCAAAAGCACCGTTGAACTCTCTTTTCAAAATTCTGCTTTATTTTAAAGTAAATTTTTAAAAGCAATGATGTAGTCTTCTTATATTTGTTGTTTTATTGCAGAGTATATTTACAGTGGCGGATATATTTTCATCCATTTATTGAAGAAAATGCTTACAATATAGCAGAGTGCCCTCTCTGAAATATTTTATTTTCCAAAAGAAAAAAAAAACTGCAAATGACTAATCCCCCCCCCCCCAAATAACTATAGTTTACTACTATTTAGTAAATCAGCGTATTTTTTCTATGGATTTCAGATTATTATATTTTTTTTATTCTTCAATTTATACATGCACATCTTTATATTAAATGGAACTATTATTTTTATATTCACATATTATTTCCAAATTCTACATCACTGTTATATCGAATTTAAGAGTTTTTAAGCGTTGAAATCTCAAACAAAGTTCCAGAGTAGTGTCACATTAAATCAAAATTTCAAAGTTTTAACTATAATTAACTATAATTAACTATAGTTAACTATATTACATTTTTGTTAAGGATAGTGATATTTCAAACCTTAGACTTATTTTGCAAGTTTTGAAATATATCGAAAAGGATATTCAAGTAGACTTCTTCCATTCCAAATCACAGCCGTCGTCAATCTTATTTTTACTGGCGAGAATCACAAATATTTGTTCCAACTTCCATAATTCCTGACCACAATATCATTATCATTTCGAAAGGCGATTCTTCAAATTTAAAAAAAGAATTTGAATTTCTCAGGTTTACGTAACATCTTCACAACTTCCGAGTCCTGTATAGTTACAAAAAATGAAAAACAGTCCATCTCAAAGCTAATGCATAATAATGTGCTTTTTAGAAATCCTTTATTAGTCTACTCCATTTTGTAAATATGCAAATTTAAAAATATTTCCATATAACAGCATCCGAGGGTTCGAATAAAAGTATAGTGCGAGCATAGTTTTGAGGGATTGTCGTTTCTTTAACCACCCCCTTCTCCAACTTTGGACAGTAACGCATAGTTTTGTCATGTGCCGTCATCCGTTGGTAGGAATTAGTTTATGTTTTTCCTAATAGCTATTTTATATGTAGTCAATCCTTCACAATGACTGACAGTGCGGTTGCGTTTAAACAAATAACATTGAAAAAAATAACTCTGTAATACTTTATTGGTTGGAAGTATATATCAATTGTACACATGCATGTGCAGTGTAAATCATTAGAAAAAATATATATACAATGTAAGAGATTTACATATACTCCTGATAAAAAGATCGAAAATTAAATCGCTTAAAAGCAATGTACTAGTTTAGCAACTGGAGATCTTGAGAACGAAAAATAACATATCGAAAAGGAGTATACAAACCCGCAATGCATATTCTTATGAATGGTGAAATATTGCGTAGAAATAAAGTGAATAGAATCGTGTTATGCTTTTACAGACAATGCCATGTATGATTTAAGGTATGCTTGCTTTTCAAAATACGAAACGAAAGATTTGAACAAATCCCGGAAGAAAAGCCCGCATTTTAAAGAGAATGGCTGAAATGACTTACAGTGTGGCTAATGCATCATGAAGCTATTTCTGTCATTATATGAATTGAGGGACTCCTATGGTCAATATAAACGCTTATGTTGTAGTAGATAATTTAGTTGCAAATTGCGAATGGATGTCAGAATGTGCCAGTTATTGTGTTTTCATGGGGGAAAATCTTCAGAAAGTAATTTTTTGCAAAATTATGATTGGATGTCAAATGTACTATCATATTTTGTGTCAGAAACTGTGTTTTTACTTTGGAAAAATCTTCAGAAAGAAATTATGGAAGTCTTTAAGATTTGAAAGGTGAAATAGCAAATGAAAAACCACGTTCTTATGTTATGTAGAAAAAACAGTGAATGAATAATTTAGGATTGTGTGGAGTGGTCTCCGAAAATGAAACATGAGACCAGCTCAAATCCAAAAATCTAATTCAAAATGAAACAATAAAATACATATAATGAAAAAAAAAAACATCAACAGATCTTTAGCACCACACAAAGCATAAAACAGAACAAAAAACATAACAGATAACACAATTAAATCTTCCAAAAAGAAACACAGCTGTGCGATACAGAGCAGTGCTAATGGTGCTTGATCTTGGAGAAACATTGAAAGAATCGATTTTCATAACCTGAAGTGGACTGTTATCAAATACAAAACCTTGAACAAGGTGCAGCTAAAACGTGCTTATCGTCATCACAATAAATTAATATCAACAATGATGTTTTCATGGCTATAAACTTTGAAAATATCAGGTTAATTGAAAATGAATGGAAATATCACAGTGGTTTATGAATCATGGTGATAACACTTCTTCAACCCATAGCAGTGTTACTGCGAATGTATGTGGATGAACTAGGGTTGGGCCCTCGCCCGGGGGATTGCATAAGATGAAGATTTGTCATAGACTGTCGGACATCTGACGAGGGGATCTTGGTTGAATATCTCTCTGTTCGCAGATACGCTTGAGAGCCAAATAGTGAGGTTTCGAAATCACCTCTTAACTGATCGAGATCAAGATGCAAATTGTCTGTGTCATATCCGGTTTCGGTAAGTGACACGTCACCATCATCGTCAGGGATAAAGATGCTAGAATAGTCCGACCACTCCGCTCGAGATCTTGGATTGTACGACATCTTGTCTGAGAAATCGGCACGAGACCTTGGGAAACCTCGCTCTGATCTGCTGTGATCACCACGTGATGTTTTCATTTCCTCTATGATCTTGGTGTTGACATCTTTAATTGCTTCCGTGACTGCCTCTTCGGCCTTGACGTCTCCTATAAAATCATTATAATAAACCACCTTAAAGCTTGATGTCAAAACAAAAGCAGTTCTCATATGCTATTAAATTAATTACAATATATTCTTCAGTATCAGTGTAAATACGTTAACATCGTTCAGATTTCAGAGTACGTGCTATTCAGATAACCTGGATTTAAGTAACCCCATTTTTACGACTGGTTACCGAATAGCTATTATTCTTTACATCAGTTACTACTTACCCTGCATCCGTGCGTGTTCCCTGGCTCGTTCAAAAGTACTGATGGCGCTGGAATAGCTCTTTAGTTTAACTGCAAAAGAGCAACAATATTATACTAAAAGACCTGTACTTGCAAAAGAATCAGACAAAAGAAGACGACTTTTATATACCTTCTGCGACACCAAGGAGAACGAGAGATTGGAGTTGGTAGCTCCATTCCACCGCTTCCTCGGCAGCTTTCAATGAACGATGAGCTGCCTCCATGGCAAATTTATATTGCCCAAGAACAAGGAAACAGTTCCCAATCTCATGGTATAACCAAGCTGTTTCCAATCTTGTTTTGCACAAAGGAACCTTTCTAGAGAACCTACATGTATACATTGGGGGAAACAAATGCACAGTGAATAAATTGCAGTACGAAAAGAAGAAGACAAAAGGAGTAACAAATAAGCTTTACATACAGTTCCAAAGCTTGCTGGTGTTTATTTTGGAAAACAAAGATTCTCCCCAAATTTCCAAGCGCTCTCGAAACAGCATCATCATCATTACTGTGGAAAACACCCAGACATACATGTAAAAATTCATGATTTCTTGCATGATAAGTTTGTTATTCAACTGTATTCAAGTGCAAACAAATTTGTGTCATCCATGTTAAATAAAATAAAAGTATTTTGCAAATAAAAATATAGTTACAATATAAAACAAGAGGCCCAGGGGCCACATCGCTCACCTGAGTACTATGGCTAGGAAAAAGCAGAAATCAGTTAAGTCTTGAAAGGATAAAAAGTATAAATAAAAAAGTGGTTCGGGGGGGGGGGGTGTCATGAATTGAACAAATTTGAATCTACATTATCTGAGGATGCTCCCATTTAAATATGACCAATCATGGCTTTGCTGTTCTTGAGTAGAAGATTTTTAAAGATTTAACCTATGTATTCCTATGTAAAACTATGATCGCCCATTGTGGCCCCACCCGACCCCCGGGGGTCATGATTTGAACAAACTTGAATCTACACTACCTGAGGATGCTTTCATGTAAATATGACCAATCATGGCTTTGCTGTTCTTGAGTAGAAGATTTTTAAAGATTTTTCCTATATATTCCTATGTAAAACTTTGATCGCCCATTGTGGCCCCACCCGACCCCCGGGGGTCATGATTTGAACAAACTTGAATCTACACTATCTGAGGATGCTTCCATGTAAATATGACCAATCATGGCTTTGCTGTTCTTGAGAAGAAGATTTTTAAAGATTTTTCCTATATATTCCTATGTTAAACTTTGATCGCCCATTGTGGCCCCACCCGACCCCCAGGGGTCATGATTTGAACAAACTTGAATCTACACTACCTGAGGATGCTTCCACATAAGTTTCACATTTTCAAGCACAGTGGTTCTTGAAAAGAAGATTTTTTAATGATGCCATTAATTTTTCACGAATTCTTTATTATCTCCCCTTGGAAGATGGCATGGCCCTTCATTTGAACAAATTTGAATCCCCTTTACCAAAGGATACTTTGTGGCAAGTTTGGTTGAAATTGGCCCAGTGGTTTTTGAGAAGAAGATGAAAATGTGAAAAGTTTACAACAACAACGACGACAGACAACGGACAAATTTTGATCAGAAAAGCTCACTTGAGCCTTTGGCTCAGGTGAGCTAAAAATACACAAAAAATTGCTTTACTCCCATATTGTAAAGTAACACATTTAAAACGTACTTCTCTTCTCCAATGATCAAATCTCTCTCATGGTGTTCCAGTGCGGTCAAGTAGTCCTTAGTTTCTATTGCAGCGTTGCCAATGTAGCTGTGTAGTTTGGCGACAATAGATGTGATATTGGGAACCTGGATCTCCGTGAACGATTTTAAGGTGTTCAAACAGGACTCAGCCTGACTGATGCAGTCAGCATAACGACCATCCACATAGGCTGAGAAAGAAGATTCTTAATTACTCTTTGCCAGGACAGTATGTAAACCTCTTGAAAATAACCAATAATCTTTCATTGATTTTATTTCCATTTGAAGCCACATTTGATCATATTCTTACCAATTTCAATTTGATCATATTCTTACCAATTTCAATTTCCTCCAGTTCCTTTGCAATATATATCTGGATTTGTTCCCTCTTGGCAGCCTCTTGAGAGCTTCGATCTTTCTTATGCAAAGATTGCAATCTTGAATTGTGCAGTGGAACAACTTTCAGCGGAAGTGGAGATTCCTCCTTGATGGGATAAAAAGTACTGGTGTCTTCCAAAGAATGATCTTGATGAAGATCACTCGGCTGTCGGTACGTACTGAAACTGATATTCAGGCCAGAGTCTGTATCAGAGGCATTGTGATCTTTGTGACTGTCTTTCGATTTTCTTCCAGTTTTCTTTACTTTCTTTTCCTTTATCTGAGGCTTAGTTTGTTTGATTGGTGTGAGCGGTTTCCGATTTTCCAAATTTTCTTTCAGCTGTAATCTTTGACCCTCCAGCACATGAAGAAAACGTGTTTGATTATTTTTTCTCGCAGTCAATTCGGAAGCCTTCTTCCTTTCCAGGTAGCGGAACCAAGACTTGGGTTGTGTTTTGTCTTCATTCATGAGCAGGTGTTTTCTAGACAGTTTAGGCTTGGGGTTGGTTCTTGTACTAGAATCAGATCTCGGAGACGTGAGGCCCGGAAGCATGCTCTGATTGTCGTGATTGGAGGATTTCTCTGCTGGGTTGGATGGGGCTTCGGGAGGAATTATTCTTCCTTGTCTTACCCAGTACAACACACGGTCATATAAGAAGTCCAGTCCATTTTCTGCCATTGAGTGAAGGTCAACAGAGCCAACAGACAGTCCGCCTATGAAATAAAATTATTCAAAATAATATTTTTGTTCATTAGATATCGAGCATTTAAATTTTATATATCCTAACCCTCTCCCTCTTTTGAATGTCATATTTTCTGCTTGTGACGTTTACAATGTATATGCGTACCTGCTTGTTCCACGAGCTGTTCAAGGTATTTCTTGTCATTGTACATTCTTCCCAGAATTTGTTTCATTCTCTTCTCCGTTACGTCATTTTCGTTCGTCATCACTTCGTCCGAAACACCATCTGTAACTAAGGACTCACGAGATCCTCTTTCGATTTTAACCAATGGATTGTGTTGACGCAGTCGGAAACCGGGAGTTACAGCTTCACGAGGATTTTTTTCCGGCGGTTCCGGAATTAAGTTAGCCCTTCTTTTTGCTTCTTTCTTCTGTGATGATATACAAATAAATATAACAGATTTAATTTTTCATAATTATTTTTCTTTCTAAGAAAACATTAAATTAGGCTTACACTAAACAAATGCAGCAAACGTCTATACTTAAGAAAATTTGAATGTTTAACCTACCTTTTTTGGAAGGAAGAATGACATTTCCCCTGCCTTTGCTAACCTTCGTGTTCGAGCTGAAAGGGTGACAAAACACATCATATACATACATTCGTTCCTGTCAATCGCTGTTTTGGGTTCCATTAAAATTGGAGGGAAAAAACTCTCAAGGTCACAAAAATAAGAATTTAAGAGATACGGTACAGTTTGTAAATGTTTTGGAACTATTGTTAAAGGCAGTAATTAAACAAGATGTATTACACTTCAATCACTGTGCGTTCCTCTCATTATTCATGAAGAATTATTAAATCAAGCAAAGGTTAAACCACGGACATAACCGATTTAAACGAGGTAACTGTCCTCATGTTAAAACTGTGGATTTAAGAAAATCCTCTATCGAGAAAAAAAAGATATATGATTCAATGTACAAGATTTGGAGTAAATTTCTATTCCTACGCGCCTGTATGAAAAATATGATAGGGTGACTAAAACAGATATTCACTTGTCTGATGATTTTGTTTTGTCTTTCTAAATTAAAAAAAATAACGGTACATTGTACGATGAAAACGCTTAATTTGATCAGAAGGTAAAAGAAAGCATTCATCTACTCATGAATTTGGCATGAAATAAACCAAAGTGCATACCGGAATCCGATCTGTTAATGGCGTCTTGAGTTTTCTCCAGACCCTCTTGGAAAGCCTTCATGTCAGGTCGCTGTTTTGATCCTTTGCTGTAGAATACTAGCGCCATTTCATACTCTCTTTGTTGGTAATGCAGCTCCGCCTTCTGGTAGAGAGCCTGCAAATCAAATCATCGCAGAAATTTTAATTTTAGTATATAGATTGTCGAATTCCAAGAAAATAATATATTTTAAGAGTTGTACTTTTCCCCTCCTTACATCAATCTAGGTTACTCGCAGAAAAAGTGTTGAATTCGTGACCGGTCGATAAGTTTATAGTGATGAAACAATGGAAGTTCATGCTACTTATGACCTGAGCTCGAGGGTATTTCATGATCTTGACCCATTGTAAGATCATTGGCATAAAAATGACTTGTATATATACTGTCCTGACTTTAGCAGATAGAAGCTTGAAGATACAAAAAGTTTACCGATCATCAGGGGATGTACTGAGACCTTTCGGTAAGTACAACGTTACAGAAAAAGTGCTAAGATTGTCTCTGGTCCATAACTCTATACAAACATTGAATACTAACACGTCAATCAAGATTGGTAAGGAATTTCTTGTCATGTGTATCATGAGCATACCCCAAGTTCATTTGGGCAATTAAGTTCAAGGTCATTGGTAGAAAAACTGTTAAAATCGCTCAGAGAAATATCATACTTAACACAAAGATTGCGTCTGACCTGAGGTGTGTTCTGATCTCGATGGAAGGTCATTTGGACATGTTAAAGGTCATTGCAAATATAAAATGCCACACAAAATGACTATCTGCTATTTCATTTCGAATAAAAATCTTATCAAAAATAATTTTAAAAAAGGTTTGCAAAATGGGGTATCATGCTGTGAGCTTGCTCAAAGTACCTCCATAGTTACTGTAACTGTTGTGAAATTTAAACAAAGAATAAATAAATGTTGATCTTTGCAATTTATATTTTTGGATGTAAAATATGTTCAGTCATTGTCATCTCAGCATTGGCTGCTGGACAAAGACCTTAGCGCGACCAAATGACAAGTTTTAACTCCCCACCCACGATCCTGAGAATGGACGCTATCTCATAAAAACGCGTTATTTAATATCCCATACTGTTTAATTCAGTGGACATGAATTGATAAGCTCCCGCTATAATGTGCAATGTTTGCCATCTTTTAAACAGTCGATAACGTACTATGATAATCTCTTGGGATCTTTCGATGACACCTCGATAAGAGCTTTTATTGCTTTGATGCGTGACATTAAACATGATTGTTTGATCAAGACTAAAATGCCCGAGTTCCAGATGTAACGGTTTTCGTTCCATAAATATCTGATCATGAAGAAATCGACCACAAATCCAATGATGTCAGTTTCTTGCATTAGATATTTTGAAATTTTAGAAATTTTTAAAGTCTTGAATTTTCGCAATATTAGTTTTCGCTTAAAGCTCAAATTCTTTCGTAAAAGTAAACTGATTTTTTTTTTTTTGTTAAAAAAAAAAAAAAAAAAAAAAAAAAAAAAAAAAAAAAAAAAAAAAAAAAAAAAAAAAAAAATTCGTTTATCATTGCCATTCTGAGTCTGAAAGATCATCCTCATAATTCATATGAGATTTTGACTGCAATAAAAGTCATTAATTTTAGTACCTCGTAAAATAAAGGATCTAAATTTAGAGCAGATTCTACATCCTGCATTGCCTTCCGGTGACGTCCTAACAGTTGATGGCATCGTGACCTTGCAACTAAAGTTGACTTATCGTCAGGAATCAACTTTAAGGCCTGAAAAATGAAAAAAAATTATCATGAGAAAGAATGTTTTGATTGAATAGTCATAGAATAAAAAGTAATTAATAAATCAGCATTTAATTAATGAGGATTTAAAAAAAAATTAAATTGAATCTTCGTTATTGCTGCTAAGATTGTAGGTCCGTAAAAACTATTTAAGTATATCTTTGCACACCACAATGAATTAAACTTCTATTTATTTATTTTATAATTCTGTATTACTTGGCACAAAATTTCGTGAAATTAAATATTTTTATTCGATCATTTGAAGTTAGTCATATATCCGTATGTTGTAATATATGTTTGTCACGAAGAGAGTTCTTAAATTTATACAACTTGACGGAAATCGCTGACTTGATTTTTCTTCTTTCATTCAGACAAAACGTTCGATGAAGCACGAATCAAGGCGCTATCAATCGCAAATTAACTTGAGCTCTCGCCAAAAATTTTATTTTTCGATAGCATTTCTTTTTTACAAGTAAACATGGACAATCCTTTTAATTTTATTCTGATAATTATTTAGACAGCTTAAAATTTATTGACATGAACACGCAATGCACCTGCAAGAATATGGAAAACGTATAAAAGATATAAATGATTTACTGTGATAAACACTTATAGAAAATATCATGACACAAAGATGAGAAAAACTATTGGCTTTAGATACAGTCCCATAGAGAACACAGCATAAGATTAAATTATGAAGTAAAATTATAATTCAGGTTTTTAAAGCAATTTATATAGACTTTTTAAAAATATTTGATGCAGATTTCTTTTTTTTTTTAATTTCAATTCAGTCACTGATCTGTAAACTTCAGCGTCTCATTTTTCATTTGAAATAAAATCATTCTGCAAACAACAAAAATTATATACATTTTCCTTTTGCTGAAATCTTACTTTCAAGTATTTTCTAAGCTATTGGTAATTTTAAACATTTACATTTAAACAATTTAAAATGATAATTAATTTTGACCAAGTAGATAGTTAAAAAAAATAACTACATTAGTTATAAGTCTGGATAGAAAAAAATGTAAACAGAAGTGAATGTTGGATTTCCCATTTAATTTTTTTTTTAAATTTGCACTCTGACGAGAGAGAAATAATCATTACAAATTGATGTCTAAATCCTTACTCTGTTCATTATTTAAAAAAAAAAATAAGTTAAACAATGCATTGATTCCAAGGTACTCATCACATAATTTTCTAATTACAAATTATAGAAACTTAGATAAATATGTTTCATACCAGTCTTCTTTTGGCCTTTCCTTAGCAGAAATATGACTCCAAAATAAATCATATAAATTTTGCTGAGTCGTAACTATACAAATAACCAGTGAATTACGATTATATAACTTACATTGAGAACTTTAATATCCCTGTAACCATTACCCAAGAATATATCAAACCGATACATTATTATTCACCGACGCAAGAAATTTCATCAAACTTCTTTCAATAAGACAACGTCTACAAGTTTTCAATCTCTATTCCGTATAACCGTGTTTTTCGCTCGTCTTTTTAAAATTCTTTTTAATTACACTTCATAGTTCACCGTGTTTTATTGGGCCTTAATTCTTTTCTAATATCATCTTTAATAAACGTCTTTTAAATTTATTAATGTATTTTTCAAAAATGAAAACCCCCGGCCAGTCTCTTCAATTTTCGCCATTGTTAAAGGGTCGACTGTTTTCTCTACCGCTTCCAGCATGAACGACAGATTTGCGGCACAAAAGCTTTTCAAACTTTAAGAAATTGCCTCCAACTTGGGTATTATGATCGAATTTATCGCTGTTTACAAGACTGTAAATGTGTGTTTTGGTTTTATAATCATTATCCTAGTTCTGCTATTACATATATATTAAGCCTATTCATTATCTCTAAACTCATGGACATTTTAAATTGCAGGGGATTAGGTTCATATGTTTATCTTTCTGAAAATTCTGCCGAGAACGCACATATAACAGTAGTTTCTTAAAAGAAGGTTTTGGAACTGTTTCAAAAAAAAAAAAAAAAAAAAAAAAAAAAAAAAAAAAAAAAAGACAGAGGAAGTTCTGATTGATAGTGAAGAGGATATAGGATTTTATCTGCAAAATCATTGTTTTGTCTTTCTCAGATGGTATTGAATATATATTTAATTTACGATTGTTAAACAAGAAATACAATGGCTACGATGGCCCAAACCATATTTGCTAGTTGCTACTTAATATTTATCGTTTTATTCAGCAATTTTATATGCATATTTGTCATATTTGTCAGAACATTTCGTGAATTATTTCTTATTTATCAGAAATATATAACTTTAAAATTCAATAAAATTATATAAGAAAAAGTTTTGTGATTGTAATATTAGAATTTTCTTATTGTGCCAAATTTGGTGCGCTCCATCGCTTTCAAGGGAGACCACTCAACTATCATTTCTCAAAACATAATAGCTAGACATGCAGTATATGTGAGATTCTTAGTCAAATACTGCATTTTACAAATTTAAAATATTTAAAACAAATACAGAAGAATTTTGCCCCCCCCCCCCAAAAAAAAAATAGAAAAAAATAGAAAAGGACAATGTATTTTTGATTTCCATATAACATATCAAAATACGTTTTTGCGGTTCAGTAAAATTTACGTATATTCAATCATCCAATTTACAATTGTTCGATAATATGATATGGTGGTCGATTACATCACAAATTATACAACTACAATGGATTTCTCATGTAGTACGTACAGGAAATACATATACACATTTTTATTCTGATGCAATATTACGATTCACTAAATGGGTATTAATGCAACTTAAGAAGTACATGTACCTAGTCGTGGACTAAGCATTACTTGTGAATCCAGAAGATAAACTTATAACCCATAACCTAACCCGATACGCATTTGAACCGCCGATTTTTTTTATTTATTTATTTATTTTTTTGTTGTTGTTGTTGAGATAAACACTTCAATAAGGATGACCCCTATTTATTTATACCAATCATGCTTAATTAATATTGAAATTTTTACTATTCATTATGAGACAAACCTCCACAGATCTCCGCATGTGAAAATTCACCATTTTGATCTACTCCGGAAGAGCCACCGATTGTTCAATATAAATATTTACAAAGTCAATATCAGCTGATTTTAATTTAAAGTATTGCAACTTAATTACAAATTAACAACAATTAATAATAGCTGTTGCTGTGCAGCTTAGCGGATTAAATTGTTTGTTTTTCAGTTGCTGCCAAAACGTTTGCACTTATGTGTTTTAATAGAATGCCAAGTGATTGTGTCACCATATCGAAATTTTAACTATGGGATTAAAATTATTGAATTTTATATATACAATGCCAAGTTCAAGTCTTTGATTTGCGCAGAAAATCTCATGGAATTTCCATTCTGGGAATATATATTAAAAACAAAAACTTAGTCTTGATCTGTTTCTATAAAAATTGCAGCAGGAAAGAGGGGAGAGCAGTCTATGATCATCTCAGAAATGACAGATGTACATGAATATCAACATAACATTTCTATTGATTTTAGAATTAATCAACACTGCCAGGTCATAAAAACGTCCGATTTTCAACCTAGTTTTGAAACATGAAAGGTTAGCAAAGTTTTTGAGGCCATTCCTATTTGCAACATTGAGAAGGGGTTTATAACTTGAAAGAGAGCACAATAGTGTGCTGAGACGACACAAGTATTCAGATTAAGTATCTTACTCTACTCTTAATCAAAATAGTTCTTACTCTATCGAATTCAATGAAGGAAACAATTTTCTCAACAGTTTTGCACGAAAAGAGAATTAGAATTTCGACCGAATAACTTAGGCTATGGTGTCATTTGTTTTGTTTGTTTTTAACCGTACTTCGGGTCATTTCACGAATTATAATCACCTCACCTTTAACTATGTACAAGTTTAGCACCTGGGAGAGACACATTCATAAGTACATGTTTGCAAATACAACAAATATCCTGAAAAGTCAATATTTTTATTTGACGCCTTTGATTTTCTTATTCCGTGTGTAAATTTCTCCAACGGTTGAACACGTTTCACGTTTGTTTAACCAGTTCTCCGTTACAATTTCCCCCTTTTTTATTTAAAGACTTTCGTAACATAACAAAGGGTATGTGTAATTCTAATAATTTTGTATGTTTATACGGAAGAAAAATATTTACTTTAGATTCAAAGATTACTCTAAGATATACTAATAAATTACATCACAATCTTCATTAACCAGGCAACGGAATTGTATACTATACATGTAGATATTTATATTTAAGAAATTTCCAGTCTAACCAAATGTATCCTAGATTTAAATTAGATGAAATATTAAAAAAAAATAGTATTCGATTTACAATATATAAAACCATTCCTCGAGCCATTTCATAATGTGAATTATTGTTCGTAAACCTAAGTGTACTCACGCCATGATAAGATTCTAGCGCTTTTTCAAGTTCTCCCTTTCTCAGATGGTCGTCCCCTTCACTTCTGTAAATGGAGTGCATATATTTTTTCCTATCTTGTTCTTGTCTTTTGCTTTGTACCGTGTTTGCTTTTGGTATCTTCGGCAGCTGTCTAGTGGTTTTCGGAATTGTGGGGATCGCCGGGTTCGAATTGTTACTTTTGTTGGAGGACCCGGACCCCGATGTTCCAGGGGGACTTTTGACCATGATTGGGCCTGGCACCCTCGGAAGTGATCTTGACGGTTTTGGACCTTCATGAGAAGGTAGAATGGGGACCAAAGGGAGAACTCGTCCATGATGTTTGGGCTTCTTAGATTCGGCGGGTTGGCCCTTTGGAACCTTCGGAAGAGTTCGATTATGGTTTTGCTGCCCGTTCGAGAGTTTTGGAGTTGACGAACGGGGTCCAACGAAAGAAGCTGTCATCGTTTAATAAAAAACAAACGTAAATAACAAAAAAAAAAAAAAAATCGAAATTACTTATTTAAAAAATCCCTTGTAAAATTATTGTAACTGTTCCGTTTTTCATTTTAAGTCCAATGATCACATTAAATGAAAATTCTGTACGAAAATAGTCCGCACTTTCCTTCTTCATACAATATCCATTAAAACAAAAACGTTTGATCACCTCCGAGGGCTAGAATTTTCTTTAATATTTTCTTTAGTCTCTAAGCACCAATTGTTCAACCTTCTTCTCGAATTTCTACGTTATCTGCAGAAGGGGTTGGGTGGCCTCGTCCTTGCGCGTGGTCACCCATCGCTGGGACTAAAAGGGTAAACAAAGAGCGAGAGCTGTGTACACAAACCGACTCATATTCCAAAACTAAAATGTATCGACTTAGAGCGAAGGGTACCGTGTCGTAACCAGCGGAACTAAATCTTATTACTGTCTTTGTTGTTCAAAATGGGTGCATTTTAAAGATTAATTACTAACCTGTTATATTAAGATTAAAAAGACAAAGTCCATTAGCTATTGTTTATCTTACCTCCAATTTAATGACATCGTGGATATTGAGGCAAGCAATAAATGTTTTATTAAATACCTACACATCGGTGCTGAATAATCAGATCAAAGTCGGGGTGAAAATTAAAAATGACAATCAATTTAAAGTACCGCTAAACAGCTATGTATGAAACACAAGTTCATTTAAATTGGCCCTATCTTATCTACATTCTATAGAAACTTCACATGTCGCCTCATCCTTCGATTATTCTATTCTGACTATATTCATTTGGACACTGCGAACAGTCAGAGATCGGCCGTAAATAATAAACTTTAATAATAAAGCAAGTTTGTTTGTTACGTGTAATTAACTTGACTGGATTAAAAGAAATAAACTTTTTTGTAAAAGATTGGCGAAATAGCGAAAAATCTTAAATTGCAGGAGAAATTAGCAAGGCTTCTTAGTGGCATTTATTTTCCATATTACTTGACCCTTGTTTATAACTAACTCAGTTTACAAGGTAATCAAAGCTTTTGGATTTGGGCTGGTTGATCGATTACCAATAATATCTCCTTTATATAACTACGTTACCCTAACAAATAGTGATTATTCGGAATTTCAGAACTTGTTATGATCACAGGTACTTGTGGACAGTCCCCTCCCCTACACCCCCTCCCAGATGTACAACCCTTGGAACTGTTATTTTTAAAATTATTTTTCTGTGACATACACGTATCTGCTATGGATCTCCATGAAAGCGTTTGGGAAATTTGAATGTGAAAAAATACACCGACTGCAAAAGGTAAATGAAAGCACATATGCAGTCTGTTTGAACCCCCCAAGACTTGCACCCATGGGATACATTTTGAAAAGAATCTCAGATTAAGAAATGACAATTTTTTTTTGCATATACCGGTATTTGCAGCTTAAAACTATTCAACCTAACGTGAGTTTTCGAACTAATAAAATGAATATTATGGAAATGAATAAAATGCTTTTAAACAAAGGCGCAAACACAAGTTGTGATTTTTTTTGCAATTTTAATTCATAGTTTTCACATTCATGATTGTTATTTTTATGTCCCCGTAATCGAAGATTCGGGGGCATATAGGTTATGAATATGTTTATTCACCAATCAAAGGCCCTCAGGGGGCATATACAATTATTTCAGAATGATTACATATAAATAATATTAAAGTATATTGTAATATGAAAGAATATAAATCATATCTATCATGAGGGTACGAATGAAAGATGTACAATACCACGAGTAGGATACTCATGAAAATGCAAGGTTTGCAACATAATCACAATAGTCTGAAACTGGATCAAAAATATTGAGTAGGAAGAAAACTAAAGGAAGATAAAGAAATTGACAATAATAGCAGTATGCTAATACATGTATATGGTGTGGCTTGAATACAGAGGGAACCATGGGACGATGCCTCTGCATAGTCAATCTTACTGACACTCCTGTACCCTAAGTATTCAAGACACTCATTCAGAATCATTTAGGTGATAGCAAAACTAATAACATAAATTATATAAAACATACTTAACATATAAAATATGTACCTACTAAAGTGTTTGCCCTGTCCGTCCGTTCGTCTGTTTGTTGGCCAAAACTTTAACCTTGCCCATACCTTTTGACTGGTTGGAGCTATGGCTTTCATATTTCGCAAGTGTATTCCTTGTGACATTTCTTTGGGTACCATCATATTTGACCTTTTGACCTTGGAGTTGGACCTACTTTTGCTAAATTTTATGAGACTTTAACCTTGGCCATAACTTTTGAATAGTTGGTGCTTGGCCTTTCAAACTTCACATGTGTATTCTTTGTGTCAAGATCTTTCTTTGGATACGAACAATTTTGACCTTGACCTTGGAATTTGACCTACTGTTGAAAAATTTTAACCTTGGCCATAACTTTTGAACCAAGGCCCCGTGTCACGGTGGGCGTTGGCACGAAAAAGATCCCTCACTGCTCTATGACCCTGGGTGCCGAGTAAAGGTCTAAATTTGAAGCCCTTCACCGGTATATGGTGACGTCTTTATATGAGTGAAAAATTAAAAAAAAATCCATACAATCAATCAATCAAAAGTTATGGCTAAGTGAAAAGATTGAATGGAAAGATCTTTTCACGATGAATACACATGAGAAATATGAAAGCCCTAGCACCAACTGCTCAAAAGTTATGGCCAAAGTTAAAGTTAAGTAAATTTGTGCAAATGTGGGACGAACTCCAAGGTCAAGAAGTTAGATATGTTGGTATCCAAAGGAAGGTCTTATCACAAGGAATACTTGGAATCCTACCAATCAAAAGGTATGGACAAGGTTAAAGTTTTTGTGGACAAACAGACAGACAGACGGACGGACAGGGCATAAACTAAATACCTCCGATTGTTCGATTACGGGGGCATAACAACTTACATTATTCTACACGTGCTTACTACAACGAATATAATCACCCTTAGATAATTTAAATATCATTTAAGTGAAAGTATACAACATAAACAGGGCCTTTAGCAACCCAAGTGCTTTTATTAAAGATGAGATCAGGCAAGGCCAAAGTTTTTCGACAAGACACATATTAAGGTATTGTTTTTCTAACCAATTAACAACGCAGCTTTTAGTCAACGATTTTTAATATCTTTATAACTTGTATCACATTTCTAAATTCCTTTCTAAAATACTATTTTACAGAAGAAATGCCACACATATTATTAGGTTTTACTCAAAAATAACAGCCTGGTTTTTTCTGTTTATGAGGGTATATTTACGTGCATTACTCGAATAGTATAGTAAGTTTCTAAACACACAAAAACCTGGACTTCATTTTCTATAGCTACATTTAAGACTACTTTTTCTTATATTTCTCTCCTATCATTGACGCAAACATGCACAAGCGTTATCAACAAAAATCACAAGTGACATCATATAGGTTTATATAAGTATTCAAATTCAATAGATTATTGATGTAGTACTTATTGATTTAGTACTTATATTTTCCTACCCCCTTTGAAAAAAATGGGGCATATTGGTTTGCATCTGTCGGTAGACCAATTGTTGTCTTACCAATATACTTGAGAGACATCACACTTGAAACACTGGTCCTCTAAAGAATAAATGATCCTATTCATTTGAGGTCACAGGTTCAAAGGTCAAACTACATTTACTCTGAACATAAGAAGATTTTGACCCAGGAAATGTCTTGAGAACCTTTTGCTTAACAGAAATCATGTCTCATACACTGGTACCCCTTAAATTGTAAGCGGTCTTTATTGATTTTGAATTAACAAGGTCAAAGATCAAGGGTAAACCTACACGTTCTCTAAACATTACAAAATATTGTCCACTCAGTATCTTGATATCTATTTGTTTTACAGACATCAAGAGCATAGGTACTCCCTAAGAAATCAATAAGATCAGTTGAGTAGATGACAGGCACGGATCTAGAAAATTTTAAAATTTTCAGGGGGGGGGGGTGAAGAGGAAATGAGAGTTGTTATAATGTACGTTCATATAGTTAAGCGACACATTAATAGGAATACTATCAATGAATAAGGAAGATGGCATACAGAGTTGAGGTATTGCCATTCTTCGGACTATACACTTCCTCTCTTTTGTGAATGGTAGAAAATACACGAAATGAAAATTTTCAATGATTTCATTGGTTGAAATGCTGTTCAGGGCAAGGGAGTCAGAAAATTTCCTGGTGATCTATTTTTCGTAGGACTTAACAATTTTTCTATATTTTCAATCTTTAAAAAATCGACAAATCGAACAAAAGAAAATTACAATTAATGAAACTGATACTTTATTTATGTTATTGCAACTACTACAAAGTGTTTATTTTCATGATTAACAGAAATTGAATGCAGACACTAAAATTTGTGTTTATTCTTTTTTTTCTTACTTTATTTTGCACGAGTTTTTCTCAATCGCATCAACTCAGGCCTTTCCGTCAGAGGTCGGAAAAACAACCTCGAATATATTAACATCACCGGATGTTAAAAATTTATGCAAGATGGAGTCACTTTCTATTTATTAAAGCACTGGAAAGACAGAGTAAAAAGTCACTCCTTTAGTATATTTTAGGTAATATCTTTTCATTCACTAAAGTTGAGCTCCGAATCTACAGATAAGAGGCCTGTCTACATTTATTTCAAAATTTATGAAAAGGGGGATTGTCATGAACGCGTACGTAACACATTCAAGGTTGTTTTTCAGCTTGTCGGAAAGGCCCGAAAATTTTCGATTTGGTTTTTATATGGTAGTGCTAATGTCTGTAAAAATACAAAGCCAAGAATTGCTAAAAAGTAATACGGCCTGATATATGAATTTCAGTTTACTGTTAAAGGTTGTTGCTAAAGACGAAATTTTGAAAAAAGCTGTATTTGTTATAATAAAAAAAACTGATTAGATACAGATGTTTAATTAAAACTTGAAAGGCATTGCTTCGATCACGAAAAAGTATCTGGTAAAA